CCTTGTAAAAATTTGCATCTGCATTCCTATAAAGCTCGTGTGCTCTCAATCAGCGTTGTCAGTTCGCTCGGTGTTGCTGTTTGTACTTGACCAATGTGAGTTCAATACCGACGGTACGAGTGGAGCCACGCCAATCTCATGAAGTCCGCTTGGTGAAGCTTCACTCGGGCCCATCTGTGCTGTAGTTCCTTGCGGTTTGCGTACATAAACACAATATCGCGAGAAATATTACGTGTTTGTTGCTCGAAATGTGCCGCCGAGCAACATCCAGTGAATACTGGCACGGCCTGGCGCCCGGTCTTCATGACCAAGAGCAACAGTCCCGGATTCCGCCATTTTAAAGTGAAAGCGATCGGCCGTCCATTGAATCTCATTGCTGTCGCGATGGAAAGCAGCTGCTTTGTTTTTATTCTGCCACCCTAGACGCGGCTAATTATAACTGAGGCGCGGGTAGTTTGGGGGACGCCGCCCTCTCTATTCTGCTGCCCTAGACGCGGATATAACTGAGGTGCGGGTGACGAGGATAGTTTCGGGGGCGCCGGTCTCTCTATTCTGCCACCCTAGACGCGGATATAACTGAGGTGCGGGTGGCGAGGATAGTTTAGGGGACGCCGCTCTCTCTATTCTGCCACTCTAGACGCGGATATAATTGTGGGCGTGGGTGGCGAAGATAGTTTCTGGGACGCCGCTCTCTCTATTCTGCCACCCTAGAGTCGGATATAATTGTGGGTGTGGGTGGCGAGGATAGTTTCTGGGACGCCGCTCTCTCTATTCTGCCACCCTAGACGCGGATATAATTGTGGGCGTGGGTGGCGAGGATAGTTTCGGGGACGCCGCTCTCTCTATTCTGCCACCCTAGACGCGGATATAATTGTGGGCGTGGGTGGCGAGGATAGTTTCTGGGACGCCGCTCTCTCTATTCTGCCACCCTAGACGCGGATGAGGGCGCGGGTGGCGAGGGTAGTTTCGGGGACGCCGCCCTCTCTATTCTGCCACCCTAGGCGGCCGCCTAGGTCACCTCTATGGAAGCGCCGGCCCTGTATATATTTATAAAAGAAGTTGAACAAGTTGTCATAATATTTAGTCATTAAATTATGTTACTGCTAGATGGCGCTCAATTAAAAGGAGCGTTCATTTCAAGGGAGCGGTACCCTGTACTAAAATGGCGGCTCTATTGACGCATTCCTTCAAATAGACAACATCAGGGTAGGTAGGCGACATCCAATGTATATTTCTATGGGAGCTAACTCTTATTCACGTCATATCATGTGCAACTCTTATTACTCTTTTACGCTCTTTGATGCTGCGTTCACACCAGATGCGGCACGTGCGTCCAGTGCTAGTGATTTACATGTTAAGTCAATGCAAACGCGTGAATAGACATCCTGCGGCGCGATACGCACGAATGGCGCAAATTGCGCGGGGCGAATTGAGCATTTTGCGCGTCTGACGCGCTTAACGAGCGTTTCGCGTGAATTTCTCGAATTCGAAAATCTGAACTTCAGCGTACATTCACGCCGCGTTAACCAATCAGAAGCTTGCTCTTGTGGGGGCGTGATTGTGACATAGAACCTGTTGTTGGTGTTCCGAGGGAAATTCTCCAGCCTTCACCGACAACAGTTCATCAACCTCGGCTTGGCTCAGTCAGAAGCACCGCTGAAAGCCTCCGTCATCCAGGTTAAGTTTCTGGAGGAGTTTATGAGCTCACAGAGCTGGATGCACCTCTAAAATAATGTAGTGTACTCAGACACGACCCTAAACGTATCGAAGCTGTTTTTTAGTCTTCATAAAGCACATAAACACTGTTATTTTCTTCATAAAATCCATGTTAGCCATTTGGCTATGAAGCTAGAGTCTTCGGGCAGACAGAAGCCCTGCCCATCACGCAAATCCGCGTCTGTTCTGAAGTGAATTTGACACGCGAATGAAGCAGGGTTTGACGCGCGTTCCGCGTCTAGTGTAAACACAGCATAAGAGTCTTGGCGGGATTTCAGAATGATATTTAGGCAACTATGAAGTAGCAGTACCGTCTGTCTACCATAGTTACACAATGCAGCATTTAGCTCGCTCGTAAACATGGCTGTCTGAGCAGAAGTTTCATCATTAGCCCTGACTGTCAGATGCTCATCATCTCAGAAGCTGTATTTTTAGATGCTTGATAACAGATAACGTTATAAGGTGAGTTATGGCTGGAGTGGACGCTGCCAGACGGGCTTTTTATTCATTTTGTCATGACAGGAGCGAACAAGGATACTAAAGAGTGACAGAGTCCACAAAACTGCTCTCTGGTTGCATTTCATTTGATGAATATTATCTTTTAGAGCTTCAAGTTAGCCTCAGGTTTTTCTTGTCAGATTTGTCGCTACGGGGGGTGGGGGTGTTGGGGGGTGCAAAGGGGGGCATTGCCCCCTCAGAAAGAGTTTGTGCCCCTCCCCCCCCCAATTTGTAATAAAGGATTGTACACTCAAACCGAAAATTATTTCTGTCATTAATTATTAACACCCCCGTCATTCCAACCTAAAGGTTTATGATGTTTACAATATCACGAAAAAAACACTTATGATAGCCTAAGATGAATCTTTGTTTTTACATTTAAAATGATGAAAAAAAAGTTATATAGCATATTGAGTTGCGTGTTATTCGTGCCAAAATTTAACTAATTTTCATGGTAATAACATGTGAAATTTGGTATCTTTTTTAGGTATTTTTCTGGCTACACTAATGCCTTAAAATGTAACTAAGTAAGCTTTTCCCTGACACTGATGTTGGTTGGATAATAGGCTACGTGAAGCGGGATGACTCGATTAAGCTTATTTCACTATATTTATTTACCGGTTAAATGAATAGTCTGATCGTGGGTCAGCTTGCATGTGTGGGCATAATTTGACGTCTTTACCTAAAACTTTAAACATTCATAGGCCTGTTATTTGAAATAAAACGGAAATAATAAGGAGAATAGCATATGATTTAAAGCACTCGTTTGGCACTGAAGCCATAGGGTGTGTCTCCGTACTAACAGAGTATGTTTGATAAAGATTTATCAGAGTAGGGAGTGAATGTTGGCCAGAGGTGACAACAATATGTGTCGAAACAAGAAATCGGCACACTTCAATCACTCAAAAGGTCTAAGGTCTTGTCAAGGATCATTTCTAATTTGATATGACCGCTAAAGTAAGGTAGACCGAGTACATTTTTCAGAGAAGGATACAGTTAAAACACCTTAAATAATTAACATTTTTGCTCCACTCATGCATATTAGCATTCTCATATAGTGAGAAATATGAACGGTGTGCGTCCTTTAGATATTGGTAAAAAAAAAAATTCTCAAGGTAAAATTTTAATTCAACAATGTCCTTTCCACAATGAATAGGTTATGATCCTTTCCTGACTTTCAAACCTGATGTATATCATTGCAAAAGATACTCTTTGCTCTAAAAATAGACATAGTTTATGACATTGTGCCATGCAAGGTTTTTCAACACACTGTCTCAACTGGATTGGTGTTATATTGCTTTACATGCAGTTTAGTTGCATTGTGATAATATGATACAAGTCATGTCATAAACACGTTATGGAACTTGTTTTTAAAAATATATTTGTGATTATTTTAATTGTCTATTAGTAATAGACATGTTTTCTACAATCAATATTAAAAGGATTAGATAGTATTTTTTAAACTGTACAATGTGATAAAGTGGGTACAGTTGATACACTATGTTGTTACATGCAATAACAGTTAAATCACAGATAATTAAATAAATACTTATAGGTTGTGTGTAAACCAGTACACTTACTGTTATAGGCTTAGGGTAGGCTTATAGAATAAACAATTATGTATGGGGTAAATATACTGACTTAATATGTCTGTAAAGTATAAAAAACCTCTGTGCTTAATGTAATGATATTAGAAATACCGCTCTTTCTGTGTGTAAAAATAATATTTTTACTTTTTGTTGTTTTATTTAACTATTTCCATGTTCTTTTTACTGTTATGTTTACATTTTGTGCTTCTAGCATAATCTTTTATAGTGTTAAATATTTTGGTCTTGTGTGTGGATGATTTCCGGTGATAGGTTATGGCTTGAAGGGCATCCGCTGCGTGAAACGTGCTGGATAAGTTGGCGAGTCGTTCCACTGTGGCGACTCCAGATTAATAAAGGAACTAACCTGGCAAGAAAATGAATAAATGAATAAATTTTGTTCTTATATCTTTTTAACTGAATCTTTTTTAAATAAAGTAAATAAATAAAACAATAATTTGAAAAATGCACAACTCTACATTATTATGTTTGCAATACATATTTAGCCAGCAATAGAGAATTATTCAGTGGTGTCTCAACTGTACTCTACATGAGAACAGTTGAGACAAAAATACACCTTATGTTTATGAGCTAATTGTGGAAAATATAAACTACTTATGGCTATTACCAATATGTAACATTTCAATGCACAATCAAAATTAATTAATTCATTCATTTATTTACTTTTCAGCTTAGTCCCTTTAATAATCCGGGATGGCCACAGAGGAATGAACTGCCAACTTATCCAGCACGTTTTTACGCAGCGGATGTCCTTCCAGCCACAACCCATCTCTGGGAAAATCAAAATAAATATCACGTCAAAGTTACCTCAAATTAAGCATCTAGTTTTTGTGATTAAAAAAGCAAAACGTTTTTCTAATGTACTCAGTTTACCATACAGAAACCAAACATTCTCAAGTCTACTGATGTTTTATTAAAACAATTAAAAACACTAAACTAACAAACTAAAAACATTAAATTCAGTGATTATTGTCCATGCTGAAATAGCACAACGCTCATGTGTAATCTGCAGTGCAGCCATGAGATTGCACTGGGTTGCATCTACTACGTAAAGTCAAAGAAGTCCTCGATATCACAGCACTGGAGTGGCCCCAATGGGAGGAGCAAGGCAAGTTAACTAAGGAGGGGGAGGAGAATTTTGAGGTCAAAAGATAAACAGAAAGTGGACTGAATGAAGACATAGCAGTCGTCAAAGAAAAACAGTGAAGACATGAGCACTGAAGGTAATCAGAGCACAGGAGGAGAATCAGCCGTGGACACAAAATCCGGCCGTCCTGGATGGAAGGTAAGTGCATGTCGAGAGGTTTGTTTATCTTTCTGAATACTTCTGTTCCTTATTGTAAGATACTTTTAAATAGTCTTCATTTGGTAATGAAGATATTCAACATGGAAAGCAGTGTCAAAGTCCAATAAAAAGCTTGTAAAATTATGGATTTGAATGTTTGCTTATAGACCAACGTTCATGTGGTTGATTACATGTTTAATGATAGTAACCAGATGTTCACCTCACTTTCTATGAGGCTTGTGTATCTGCTCTTGGTGTTTGCACAGAGTCAGGAAACTGAAGTGTACATTTAGAAGTGAGCTTGAAATGTTGATTATCTTTCCAAGCCAGCTAGTTTTGAAAATACCATGTGGTGAATGTTTTACTCACAAAGTAGCTTGATTAATCAAAAAATCTTTACAAATGTCTCCATACAAGAAAAATCAGTGATACTTTTCTCCAAACATTTGCTGTTACAGCAATTTCAGTGCCCCATAGCTGATCCACGCTTTCCCAGAGAAGATGTGAAGCAGATATGGATGGAATGCCAGCATGATAGCTTCTGGTATCGAGGTAAAGAGACACTTGAAATTATTTACTATCACATATAGTGAGTGCACTGAAAAAAAGTGTAAATGCAAATAATGTTTACTCTCGTGTCATTGAAAAATCTTTTTTTTTTTCTGTAAAACACTAAACATATTTAACAAAAATCAATTTTGGCTTCCACTGACCTCCATCCCATGAAAAACATACTATGGTACTCCATAGTAAATATTGTATATAGTAAATATAATCTATAGTAAAAACTATGAACCGTAGTAAAGTGTTTATACTGTATATATTATAGTAATTACAACTCTTTGTTAATGAAGGCTACAGCTTACCGTAGTATCATTTCCTAATAAACGCTAATAAATACTTTATTGTACCTTGGTTTTTACTACAGTGAACTGTGGTATAGCATAATAAAGCCTATAGTGAATTGAAAACTCAGAACAACAATGGGTAATTTGTTTATAATAATATAGTGGTTGTATTACCAAAGCTATTAGAATTAAAGTAACTTTCTACGGTATGATTTTAAAAAGCTGTATATTTACTATACTGTACAACTGATTTTTTTTTTTCTTTTGGGATTGTTTGGGTGGAAATGGTTGAATGATTGTTCTAGAATTTTTGAGTGAACTTTTCCCCCTTTAAAACTCTGTAAGTACAAAACAGACAGAGAGCTTCTCCTCTGAATGATCTTCACAGGTTGTTTGCTTTGGTGAAAAGGGATTCGACAGGTGTGTGCACGTATTTTCAAGAATGTTCTTCCAAATAAGGACTAACGCATTTATTATCCAGTGCTTATGTTTTGACATGGCTGGAATTTGGTTTAACCACAGCACTGTTTGTGTTGGGGAGACATAAGCCTCATGTTATCTGCCTGTTGTTTAGCGTTGACAGTGATCTGGAATACAGTTGTCTAAAGTAGCCAGTTATTTGGTATTGGATGGTAAAATGTTTAAGATACGCTCACTCACTCACTCCCTCCTTCAGTCTTCGTGGTCCTTGCTTTATCAGGGGTATAGCTAGCGGAATGAACTGCTGATTAAAGATACTGAATGATGGTTTTATAAAGACTATTTTGTACCACCAGCCTCTTTGTAGTAAGGGTGGGGATCATTCCTGATGTCAGAACCTCTGTAAGAATGGTGGAAGTGTCCTGCGGATTGCCTCATTTTGAAGTAAAGCGCCTCCCTTACTGATCATTTATGTACTTCCATTGAGTGTTGATCTTTAGATCTAAAATTACCATAACTAAATTAAGCATGTGTGCTGTTTGGCATTTAGATGAATGTTCAAGGGCGAGGCAGTGGCGCAGTAGGTAGTGCTGTTGCCTGACAGCAAGAAGGTCGCTGGTTCGAACCTCGGCTCAGTTGGCGTTTCTGTGTGGGTTTCCTCCGGGTGCCCCGGTTTCCCCTACAGTCCAAAGACATGCGGTACAGGTGAATTGGGTAGGCTAAATTGTCCGTAGTGTATGAGTGTGTGTGTGAATGTGTGTGTGGATGTTTCCCAGAGATGGGTTGTGGCTGGAAGGGCATCCGCTGTGTCAAAAAGCTTGCTGGATAATTTTGCGGTTCATTCCGCTGTGGCGACCCCGGATTAATAAAGGGACTAAGCCGACAAGAAAGTGAATGAATGTTCAAATGTGAATTTGAAGTATTGTTTTTAAGCACTGATCTGTTAATATCTCCACAGCTCTTCCTCTCTCTGCCGGCAGCATGGCTGTGACTGGTGGTCTCATATACAGTGGTAAGACAGCCTACAAAATATTTAAAAAAACGTTCATTTCACAAAGCTGTTGAGTTTTAATTCCTGAGTTCAGGGCAGTTTCGTTTCAGATGATGCAATAGATTGTAATTCTGACATGTGTAACACATGTGCAATAATCAGGGTTATTATAGCTAGATTTGTAATATTTATTTTAGTTAACTTGATGTACATAAGTAACTAATGTTGAAATGATTATCTGAAAAGTATAATATAGATAAACTATGAAGAATCATTACATAAAAATGGAAGATCTAAAAATATAAATAAAAAACAATAGTTATATCAATGTAATTATGTAACATTGTGATTTGATTAATTTGTTGCAAATTGATCACTTATTAAATTAAGAAATTTTCACAAAATAAATGTAAAGTCAAAAATATTTTAAAAGCATCAAGTAGTCATTTACAAATTGTAGCTTTAGAAAGATTTTTGTTTTGATGCAACATAATTTATTATTCAGACACTTTAAGCTACAATGGTCATGCTTATATTTTGATTTTTTGAAGTTGCATCTAAATTGGAATTTAGACATATTTACAGACCATTTATTGCAGCTCCAAAGCCAATATTGCTTACCAATATTTTTCAACATTTTTTTCATGTTATGAAAAAAATGGAGATTTTAAATGTCTCAAAGGTAAGTGACAGGCTCAGTTCTCCTTTTTTTCTTTTTTTACACACGCACGCACACGCGCACACACACAAACACACACACACACACACACACACACACAAAGAGTTCAGAACTCACAATAGGTCTAATACATGGGTCTTAAACTCTCAGTGTGAGCAGCCTTCAAAATCTTTAGATCACTCATTTTATTTTGATAAATTGAACACTGATCATTCACTGACCTTGTTTTACAGGTGTCTGGAAACAGTCCAAGCGATTTGGGTATTTCCCTAAACTGATTTGTAAGTCACTGTTGCGAATAATAATGTACATTCTCACACCCCATTATTATGCAAATGTATCATTACTTTACTCTTCTTTACTGTGCACTTTCTTCTGCAGTGGCGGGTATTGTGGGTTTTGCAGTAGGCAAAGCTTCGTATATCGGGACCTGCAGAGAGAAGTTCAACAACAAACTGGGACCAGAGTTCACAAAAGCTTTTGGTGGCCCTGGCTTTGGACCTGGTGGCTTTAGACCTGGGCATAAGTAAGTATCCTAATGTGTTTGTTATTCGTGAAATAATTGCATGCAGTGAACTGATTTTTTGGTTGCTTAAAATATTTATTTTACTTTCAACAGCCATTGCATCCATGTGTGTGAAAAGTGCAAGCAACAAGAAGCACAGGCTGCAACAGTACCTGATGCACCCACTCAGAGCTGAGGTAAAAAAAAACACAAGCACACCCAAACACACCCATTTACATCAACACAGAAGAGCTACATGGCCCACATCAGTCAGCACCTGTTCACTAACACCCCCCCCCACTGTTCATTTACATTCTAAAGTACACTCACCAGCACTGTTTGATTCTAAGCCACACCCATTACTACTAGTCAAACATTTTAAACCACATCCATTACTACTATTGATAGATTTTAAACCACACCCACCTTCACTGTCCATTTAAATTTACAAAAGTATACACAACTAGCACAACTAGTAATTTACATATTTAATCCACATCCACCAGATTCTATATTGGCATTCTTCTAAACCCCACCCATCAGATATTTACATTCTAACACACACTACTCTTACATTCTCATATACACACCAGTGAAAATTTCATTCTAAACCCCACCCATCAACACTACTGATTTTAATTTTTACTACACACTCACTTAATTTACATCTAAACACAATTACACCTAAACTACACCCACTACTACTCCATTGCATTCTAAACCAAACTTACTGGCTGCTATTAATTTGAATCCTAAACCACGCCTACTTAAACAACTTATATGGCTTATGTTCAAAAGGACATTGCACTATGTAATTCAGACTAAAAGTAATACTTTATTTCTTTCTTTCTCCCCGTAGGGTTTTGAGTTTCAGCAGGAAGCCACTTATTAAACCATGTTGTTTTTTGTTTATAATAAAATCAAATGATTAAAGACTGAATGTTTGTTTAAAATATGATGCAACAGGAGGCAGCTGAAATCATCTGTAATGGACCCTAAAGGTAACTAACCAGCAGGGGGCGCCAAGACACCACAGTCCATTGTAACTATGCTTCGCTGTGAACCTTTGTGCAACAGGTTCATTGACTGAAACGAGCTGTAGGTGTGTCAAACAACAGTGCACTAAAAATGTGGTTTGCGCATGAGGTATTTTGAAGATAACAATAAGCGATGAAAGCTACTGTTGTTGGTCTCAAGTACAGTGTTTTACATACAATTAAGGTGGACGAGTAAGCTCTTATATTGATATATACACCAACGGTATCTGCTCAGCTTTCCAAATTTCTGGAGGTTTTGATTCAGTTTTATGGCATCATCATACTATACATGGGCGTAAATCTGATTTAACAGTAGGGGGGACAATAAATATTAAATTTCTTTCGAGCATTTTTTTGAAGGGGACACAAATAATACAGCTGAATTGTACTATTAAAGATTTGTCCCCACAGTTAAAAATGGTTTTATCAAAATTATTATTATAGCATGGAGACTACGTCATTATGATTATTCTCAAAGTTTTTCTCAGGTTCAATGGCAAAGCAAATTTTTCTTCGAAACTATTTATTGCATTGTTTGTTGTGTCGTTTACATTCAATAGACTGACTCCTGAAGCAGAATAAATGCAGCAAAGTACATTTTCCATACTCATAATAACTAACTTTAAAAACGTTAAAATGACCGATCATATTGTAAATCAGTGAACCTGTGAGGTTCGTCTGCTAAACAGCCACAACTCCGAAAACATTTTAAAAGTTGTTCACCCCCAAAAGAATAGTCATTATACCCTCAATAAAGCACAACACCCTTACCTGACACTGTACATCTGACTGACCCTGCTCTGCCTGTTCCTCAATCATTTCTTTCTCCTTTGCCTGGTGTGATTGATATTGTGACATTAACGTTAGTATTTTATCAAGCACTCATTCTTAAAGCCAATATGTGAACTTTTTGTACTAGGTGTTTAGCTGCAGTGAAAAATGATCTTATTTCCATTTTCTCTGTCATTTTATCCAATACATAACACTGCCAGGCAAGTTTATTTATACTGTAGCACAATTTATACACGATGGTAATTCAAAGTGCTTTACATAAAGAATGCAAAACTATCATAAAAATAATCATAAAAAAAGAATTAAAAAAGGTTAACATTTTAATTTTAAATTAATTAAGTCACTTAAAATAGAATAGAAACTAATTAAACAAAGTCGTCACAAATGAAACAATGCATGCATGGGAAACGACTTTAGCGTTAGCAACAAGCTAACGTTAACTAGATATTAATCGCTAATACAGCAGATTCATGGACAATTACATGGGTAATCAGCATTTTTGCCGCAACTAATTTATGAACGAGTCTTTATTAACTACATTAAGAGAATCGCTTTATTTAAGGTGAATAAAATCCCCTACTTACTTACTGAAATTCAACATTAACTCAGCCGCAGCCAGCCACTCCTGACGTGCGTGTGTGTGATCAAGCAGGCGAGATGATGGAAAGCACACAGTGGACCGAACCACTCTGAGGAAGTTGAGGGGGAACTCATCATGTTTTTAAATGCATTTTAAATGATAAATGCGGTTTTCTTTCTACTTAAACAATTATTTTATCTAGAGTTTTTATTTAATTTTTTTAATTTGTGTGTGTGTGTGTAGGGACAACCCTCGGATGGAAAGGGACAGGTCCCCCACTCCCGTACAGTTAAAGTCAGAATTATTAGTTCGTTTGCTTTATTCGTTTTCTTTTTAATAAGAAGTTTTTTTCAACACATTTCTAAAGATAATAGTTTTAAAAACTCATTTCTAATAATGGATTTCTTTTATCTTTGCAATGACAGTAAATAATATTTGACTAGATATTTTTCCAGACACTTCTATACAGCTTAAAGTGACATTTAAAGGCTTAACTAGGTTAATTAGGTTAACTAGGCAGGTTAGAGTAATTAGGCAAGTCATTGTATATTATTCTGTAGACTATCAAAACAAATTGCCTAAAGGGGCTAATAATTTTGTCCTTAAAATGGGGTTAAAAAATTAAAAACTGCTTTTATTCTAGCCAAAATAAAACAAATAAGACTTTCTCCAGAAGAAAAAAATATTATCAAACATACTTTGATAATGTCTTTGCTCTGTTAAACATCATTTGGGAAATAAAAAAAGAGAAAAAAAAAAAAATCAAAGGGGGGCTAATAATTCTGACCTCAAATATATACACCCAAATAACAAAAGAGGTTCAAAGGGGTTTGCAGATTTCACCAGCTTTATTTGAAATAACTGAACATCTGAATGAAAAATCTTCATTTAAAATGAGAATAAAATGAACTTCAGTACAATGAAATCCTCATCTCTTATTTCCAGCTTAGAGGACAAGACTATAAACTGTAACATCAGTTAACGATGATGTCATGATTATCATGGGTCCAAGTCTAAACACATCTACAGTCATAACACTGTCATGATAACAGTAACCTGTGCATAGCTTTAAAACTGCGTTGAACTAAATTTTCAGTGGAGAATCAACTTTTGATGGTTTTATTTGTTACATGGCCATTCCTGGGCATCTATTACACTTATATTATATTTAAATTATTATTATGTTTGAAAAAGGTTTTGTTGGAAATCATTTCTCCTAACACTGATACTTAAATTGACAAACAAGAAGCCAAGATTACATATTTTATCTGAGCAAATAGACTTGATTCTACAAAATTTGCATTCATTTCCAAGGCCTTGCTCCTTAAAATACATTCATCTTCAATTCAGCATTATAAATCAGATATTTGGTCTGATCCGGCAGGATGAGGCGAGGAAACACCACAGCCATTTGGAGTTCTTCAGTCATCTGATTCTCTTACTCTTCCCAGGAATCACCATACTTGTTCTTTTTAGCTGGAGGAGTAAGAAAGAAATCGGCTTACAGATTAAAAGATACAGGGACATTAAAGGATTATAAAGTATTTAGTACCCAATTAAAGTTAAGCAAAAGTTCCAATAAGCAAAGTGTATTCAAAATATTCACATATTCTTACTTAAATTTCTGGTGGAGATCTTTTGGTTTGGTGCACATTATGCATCAAATAAACGCATCTTTGTGTATCTTTTCTAATCCGTGTGCATCATTCAAATTAACTATACCCTTTCGTCATTTTAGTGGCTGTTTTTGCCCTATTGACTTCCATAATAACAACATTTTTTTATTGCAAAGCCATGACACCAATGAATCATCCGTTCTTGATTGTTAGTGGTTTTCCCTGTTTGGAAGATGTCAGATTTGTAATTTTTACCAACTAAAAACAAGCAACTGATTTTTTTTATTTTAGGCTATGTTGCCAATTATAGGCCTTACTGTTGTAGCTACATTATATTAATGCTTTACAGTATAAGTATTAGCTGATTTTTATAGATTTTATTTAAAGATAAAGCCGAAATTTACTAAACTACTTATTAATAAGGTAAAATAAGATACTTTATGTTAACAATGTGACAAAAACAAGCTAATCAGTGACTTCAAAGCAGAGATGGGAAACAAACAGTAATTATGTGTACGGTTCCACCTCCAAAAATGTTCATGATAGGCATGGGTCGCTATGAGATTCTAACAGTATGATAACCTTGGATAAAAAATATCTCCGTTTCACGGTATTGTGATTAATGCTCTAAAATATATTCTTTTTAAATATCTGGCTAAAAAATAAGAACTTTTTCCCGCTTTTAACATGATAGCTGCATCCGAAATCATATACTTCCATACTATACAGTACACCAAAAACAGTATGAGCGTCGAGTTGTATGTCCGAATTCATAGAATTTAAAAAACAGTATCTAGCTGACCTACTGCTTCTGGCAAAATTCACAAGTGAGCATCTGATGGACACTACACTATCCCATGATGCACCGCAAGACAATTTAGGAATGGGAGTGACATAGGTAGTACACGTGATGATGACAAAATGGCATCCGTAGTAAGTCCATGCTCCATTCATACTATTCACATTCATACAGTATAGTTTTCTAGCGGTCTCATAGTAAATTCGAATTCACATGCAGCATCTACTGAATAGTAGGCCATTTCGAACGCAGCCAATTAATTTTATTTTGGTACAGTGAACATGTCAGGCTAAATAATTCAAATGAATAATTGACTTCTGCTGTCTTGATTAGTGTCAGAAACACAAATTTCTTTACAATTTAAACGACATCTTTGGATATCTTTCATGCTGGAGGCACTGTTGTACTTAAAAACGAAACAAAATAAATAATTAAAATCTCATATATAATATATTGTAGGTATGGTATAGCAGAAAATTGTATTGGTTTTTTTAAATCTTGACTTTTCCAAACTGTGTTTTACCTTTAAAAAGGTTATCGTGCCTAGTACATGGCCCTAAATTTCACATTGGCCAACCCAACTGACACTCTGAACTGAATTACTTCATGGGTGCTGTCATATTTATCAGTTAGATAATCGATGAAACTTTTTATAGGCTTTAAAAATCTCTACAGGGCTCACACTTCATTGCTTCAACAGACTTCCTTACAAGTTATCGGTTACAGAAGCTCACCTTCCTTTTTGGGTTGCATCACCTCCATTTGTGGTTTCATTTGCGTTTGGTTTTTCTGTGGGAGCGTGACTTCATAGTTCTCCCTGTTCTTGTTACGCAGTTCCTCATACAACACTGGCTTTCTCTTGGGCACATCCTCTTCCATATAGAGTGGCGCTTTAGAATAAATGCAAACTACTGGTTAAACATCTACCAAGTCCTTATTCAGTGACAAATGTACTTTCCCTTTGCCAACTGTATACAAATTTGTATTTATTCAGGGAAATTTATCTGGAGGACCTGCTGAAGAAAGATTACAGCGAGTACTCTGTTAAATTTATGTTTAGCTTGAGTAAAGTCTGTTTTGTAGGTTAATGAGGGTGCTTTTTAGCAGGGTTCTTCAGCATTGTACATTTTAGAACAACATAAGCCATCTGAACAATGTAAAACTGAGTGGTTTGTTTTGGGTTTGGTTAACCCTACTCTGAATCTCAAGAGTCTGTTTACTAGATTTGTCTAACAGACTAATGGTGTTCATGAGCAAGCATTGCAGTACCTTGCGAGGGTAAATCATCCCTGATGTTAGCAGGACCAGAATCACTGAATCCAGAGCTGAAAGGAGTGGTTTCGTATGATTGAGATGGGGTACTGTAGGTGTAATCGCTGGTGTAGCTGCTGTAGCTCTCAGTTGCAGAGCTGACTTCTGTCGCAGGCTGTTGGACGGACTCTGAACCAGGCTGCTGAGATTCAGATGAGTTTGGATCAAAATCGGGTTGGTTCATCCTATGAAACAAATATCATTGTGTAAAAAAATAAAGAAATTATTTACTTGACATAGGAAATCACAAAATAGTAAAGGTACAGAACAATCTACAATTGTATAAATTCCGAGGTCACTGATTAGCCCCATTTAAAGTTAAATACTACACTGTAAAAGATTACCGTAATTTCAATTAAATATCTGTAACCTGGTTAACAGTAATTTGCCTAGATAAATATGATTAATAAACATAAATTGACTTTCACAGAATTCCCCACAAGACACTCTATTGTTATTATTTATTTATTTATTAAATTTTTTTTGTGCTCATCAGTTAAGTACATTAGAGTTTAATGTTACATAAAACAAGATATATATATATATATATATATATATATATATATATATATATATATATATATATATATATATATATATATATATAAAATGTTTATTGCATTAATTTATTTTTATGTGTGTTACCATGATGGTGTTAAGCAGTTGTGTAAATGACTGAATGAATGATTTTTTTACTGTACATTTTTACAGATTTTTGTTTTACAGTGTAACGAGTGTAAAAGAGCAGAGTTATATTAAGGTGTTAGGACAATTTTGAAAAACTTCAAAAGTTCAAAAACAATTGATGATGGATTGTTTTAGAAATACTTTGATGAAAGGTTTTGAACCACTTCAAATGTTGACTACTGAATATATTCTGAAGCATAGTAGAAAAAAAAACATTCGATTAGATGCAAATACTAATCGAATTAAAATTATAGGAACCCCTTAGATCAGGGGTGCCCAAACTTTTTCTTATGAAGGGTCAAATAACAAATTTGATTTGATTGAAGATAAATAAAGTTGCCATGTGTAATTTCATTATTTATTCAATAATATTTTAAAATGACAAGAAAACTTTGGTTTACATTAACTAATACAGTATATTTTACATTACATTTTACATTTGATCTCTGTTAAAGGCATTCTCCCCAACTCACTAAATTATTCTCACTCTCTTCTCAGATGGGATGGTGGACCAAATCAAAGGTTACAGTGGGCCAACTTTGGCAAGGGGGTCCCACTTTGGGAATCTCTGCCTTAAATATTGCTGTTAATCAGATGGTAAATATCTAACAAACTTGATTTAACTCTGTTTTGAAGTAATTGAAACTCTCCGACAGCAGGTTGTCTAGATGAAGGCCTTTCAGCCTCAGCAAGAGAAGTTTATCTGTCCAAATCTGCAATTTATAGAATATTGTAAGTTGTCTACACCCTGTCCCAACTACATGTGACGTGGCACTGCAACATCCGATTAAAGGTAGGTTTTCCATGTTACTCCCCCAACCACCAATGGTGGCCATTAGAAATGGTTTATATTTCTGCAACATCATGGCTGGAATAACAGCATACACTACAATGGCAATGATCACCTCAGGTGCTGATTATGTGCTTTATTCAGTGTTAAATGGTACCAATAAGAGTTTGAATAAAATGCATTGGCATTAATTACCCTAATTTACCTCAAATCTTAATTTGAGGGAAAACGTGTGTAGACTTCAGTGAAATGTGGAAGTGTCATGTTTTGGTGGCGTTTTCTGCAGCAAGTGCTGAATCTTTTTATAAATTGTTTAAAGTTATATAATAAATATGAAAATGTAATATAGCCATTAAAACATTTTAAAAAGCAAAACAATTAACAAAAAATAAATAAATAAAGACTAGAATGAACGAATCGAGCATGTATTCGAAAACACAAACTTACTCAGAAGACACGTGACGCAGACGTCCCTGTCGTAATGCCTCTCCCAGTGGAGAGTTCTCCAGTTTCATAAACTTTTCTTGACAGACCCTCACGTAAGACATTTTTCCACCGATGTATCCAAATATGCCAGCAACTGCACAACAATCCTTTATTGAAAATGGCAATTTCCGTACAATCTTTTTTTATATTGCTTTCTATATAATTTTGTGCTGTCTGATGTTCTTTATACTCACAGGCAATTTTAGGAAGCGCACCAAATCGTGGAGATGGAGAAAGCATTCCTATGGAAAAATAATAACAATAAGAGAATTTCTTTACTTTTGTTTTAAATAAAGGGTTAGTTTGTCCAAAAATGTAACTTTTGATAAGATGATGAACACAAGTAAACAGCATTTGAGCTGCTGTTTGTCATATTTAATGCACTCAGTGTATGTGCTTTAATCAACGTTTATATGTGAAAAGCCTAAATTATAAATTCTAAATAAATAAAATAAAGCAGGGATCATGTTTCTGAATCGCTCAATTAATAAGAATTTCAGTCTCTTAATGCACCAAGTAATGATCTTTTAACAAAGTGACAGAAAAATAACCTAAAAAAAGGTTTCATTTGTTTTTAAAATGATTGAAATGCGTATGCATAATTGGTTGATCTTACTGCTTTTATTTTTATTGGAAACCGTATTAAATATATACATACTGCATTTAATTACCTAATAATAATCATTGTCGCTCAAAAAATAAATCCTGTCATTGGTTAAACATGCCCTGATTTTTCCAGTCCTGTATACATTTTTTGGATTTCTCATTGAGATCACAGGACCCTCGAGTGAGTGATCCCTAGATTTGTTTGGTGCTTACATTCTTTCTTTCTGTTAAGCAAAACGATAAAGTTTATACAAAAGTGGACTGTCCATGGGTTGCATTTCTGAAAACCATCCTTAGCCAACTAAGGTCGCAAGTTCCGTCGTTACAACCATAGTTCCTTGATTTGGTGTGTTCCAAATCCAGAGTTCCAACAAACATTCGCAAACTTGCACTTTTCCAACTACACATCTCGAGCTGTAGTTAGAAGCATAGTTCCTGCCTATGTGTGATTCCCAGTTAACCTATCCTATCCCCTATTCATTTAGAACATTCTAACATTTAAACTTAGAATGATTTAAAAAAACATTAAAAGGCATCACTCTTAGCTGCAATTTGCTTTTAAACTATTTTAACAGTTCAGATTTAGCGATCATCATATTGACAATTACGTTCCCTTCGCAGTGCACTTTGAAAACATTTATGCCAACGCAGCTGTGGCTCATCGAAAAAAAGGTGAGAAAGCTAAAGGTGAGTTATTATTTAAAAGTGGAATTTATGTTACGTCTCTAAAGCTTGTGAAAAAAATATATAGCATACGTTAATGCTTTAATTTATAGAAGGTTATTTATTAGGAAATGTATCTGTACAGTATATGACATTGGCCTGTTGGTTAGAACATTTCTGCAGTTTTTTGAATGCATCATTGTAAAAGTAGACGTTTACAATAAATAAATAAACAATTTCCTACTTAATAATAATAATAGGATTGGAAATTTTGTATTGTTCTTTTACCAAACGATGCATACTTTGTTCTTTAGTATTTTACCCTTTTTAATGTTGAGGGGTTTGCCTTATGTTTTAATTGCTATGTATGTGATGTAGATTTTATTTTTAGTATTGATTGTGTGCAGCACTTTGGGCAACGTTGTGTTGTAAAAATGTGCTATATAAATAAATAAACTAATAAACTAATAATAACTGGTACTGTGATAGTTTAGCCAGAGAACCCCAGAGAATAAACAATGACAATTTTCCAGTTTGGGGTGAACTACCCCTTAAATTTCCCTGAATTAACAATAACCTTTATAGTAATTATTAATAACAGGGTGAAATGTTTTTTTTACTTTATTATTATTTTAAGAGAGACTAAATATACTTTCCAAAAGGTATATCTAACAATATACATTTTCGAACACTTTAAGCGCATTAAAAAAAAAAAAGAAAGAAAAAAAAAAAGAAGCATATCTCAGAATTTTTAGAAATACAATATTCTCTATATAGGCGGCTGCACTATGGCACAGTGGATATCACTGTCGCCTCACAGCAAGAAGGTCGCTGGGTCAGCTGGCATTTCTGTGTGGATTTTGCATGTTTGTGTGTGTTTGTGTGGGTTTCCTCCAGATGCTCCAGTTTCCCCCAGTCCAAAGACATGTGGTATAGGTAAATTGGATAAGCTAAACTGTGTGTAGTGCATGTGTGTGAATGAGAGTGTATAGATGTTTCCTAGTGATGGGTTGCAGCTGGACGGTATCTATCCACTGCAAAAAACATGTGCTGGATAAGTTGGCCATTCATTCAGCTATGGCGACCACAGATTAATAAAGGGACTAAGCCGACAAGAAAATTAACAAATTTATATTTATATAATCATATTCTCTATATGGAAACTTCCAAGGTTTTCCTTTGTTTTAAATCTTCACTGATAATTCCAGGTTTTCCATGACAATAGGAACGAGAAACAGACGTAAAAACCTGAAATATAGGACTTGAACATACCTTTTGCTACCAGTACCTGAGTGATTCCGACTGCTATTGCAGAAAATGGTAAAGCTGAAGACAATGAGAAAGCACAAACACATAATCAGAAACGCTCATCTGTATCTAGCAAAGGCTAAAACGTAATGCAGAAAATCAACATTTAATGACTGGATAGCATTACTCACATCTGTACCAGAAGCTTTCTGAGTTGCACTCCCTGAAGACACGCTTCTCTTCTTCAGTGGGAATATAAGCAGAATTAAAAGCACCCTGAGGAGGCAAAATTATGAGTAATTAAAGAACACCTATTGATGATTAAGTGACACACTCTGCTTTTTGGAGTACTTCTGCGTGAGACAGAGCAGTTTAGTTCTAGTTTACAAACACTGCCAGGTGAATTTACTGCCTAACGTTACCTTACTGGACCCATGCTGGACTTGGGCAGCCGGAGTGAATCCAGACGATGCTTGCGACATGACCAATCCTAGATGCAATTACAAAAACAACGTTTTTGCAGTAGCCATGGGATTACGCGGATTACCAGTCAACAAGTTCAACGACACATTTTATGACATGACCTCCAGTCGACTCTTATTAGGAAAACAGACCAACCCGGAAGTGCAGGCGTTAGGCCGGAAGTACAGATTAAAAGTCTCTTTCGATTTATTGTTTTGCCTTGTGAGCTTTTGTTTACTGTATAAACAGTTATGTAATGAGGAATGCTTTACTGTAAATTCGACTTCGATTAAAAACTAATTTTAATTCCCCGGATTCTTAATTTAATAAATTATTTAAATATACATTTTTAGTTTCTTTACATGTATAAGTAAATTTGTATGTGAACTGTTTTCATACGACACGTAGACTTGTAATAACATTTGTAATACACATCTAATAATAACGTGCGATTTTAAAATAACAATATTCATAACATTTTATGTGATTTCATGTTTATTTATTTAAGGGGCAAAAAGCGTCCAAACACGTGAAAATGTGTAAGACTAAAACTAATAACCCATTTACAGCAATAAATAATGGTTATGCTCATCTTAGACAATATAAATACTTTAGTCTGAACAGAGAAACTACATTTAACTTAATAGAATCATAACTGACACTAAAGTGTCAGTATAAGTACGTTATTAATCGCTTTCATTTGTATGTCAATAGCATTTAATTACTTCTATCGACCGACTTTACAGAGAATAACTAATCTCATAAACAACGAACAGTAAACGGGTCTGAACTAAAAAAAGATTGATTTTATCAGGTCTATGCTGCTTACGAACGCGTATGACAAACCGAGGGAGTCTTGTCCTTCAACCTATCCAGCAGTAGTGTGCGTTGATTGACGTCCCAATCCGCCAATACAACGGTCCGTTTGTTAAGCGTGTGAATGCGAGGGGCGGGGCTTGGATCCGCAATCTTGACACAGCAACTCCCCTATCAGAACAGCGGATTGTCAAAGCCGTTAGCCAGCGCTGCTCCAATCTGATGGACAGGGAGGTGGGCACGTTGTCATTCGTCGAGTTTTTAGGTGTTTTGCGAAAAAAGACCGAGAAGATCAGCTTCAAGATCGAACACTAGAGGTCAACGGATGTAAAATGTTGTTTTTGTAAAGCTGGAGTTGGTCTCGCCATCTTTTGGAGAGAAGAGACATCGGGTTTTCAGCGCTAGCGTGAGCAGGCTAACTGACGAGGAAAAGCGCAGCTGCTCTAAAAAAGGTAAGAAAGGCCGAATTCTGTTTGACTAACCTCAAATATCCGACGTCTAACGTTGGGCAGGGAGAGTAAACTTATTGTTTAACTCTCATCGGTTGTCGTATCACATGCACTTCCCCTCGCAGGATATTATCAGTTGGTAGACAAGTTATGTTATGTTGACCTGCATTTGAAGCGAAGATGAGTACAGTCAGTGGTTGTGTCACGAAACATAGTTAGCAGTCTACTTAGACAGCCTTTCTAGACACCATTAGTGCCATTCGTGAGTTAAATAGGCCACACGAAACAATAGTTTAAATGCACAAACCATAGTGTAAGTTTTTGCGAGCCAAAACTGCATTTAACCTGTCAGAAAATAGAGAGAAGCCGTGTTTTTGCAAGCATGTGACGTTATGAAAACTCTTTAGAATAGAGTTATAGTTACATGTTTAGTGGAGGAATAAGTTATATAGTAAAGATCTGCGGTTTTAGTTACAGGATGTAACTAGGCTGGGTTTTAAAGCCACCAAGTCGTGTTCATTAACAACTCTCCTCTTGTTTGAAACCACCAGATTATCAATCTGTTAGTTTACTTTCTCTTTTATTTCCTTAAGAGATAATGTAAACAAATGCAGTAAAACCAGAGCAGCCGTTAGTGTTGAGTTATTAATCTGCAGACATGGCTTTGTTTCATTTTAGACAAACTTATCTTGTCCATCTAATAAAATCTGTCAGATGAAAGGCTCACTGATGTTAATTGGTGTCCTATGCAAACATGTGCATGAGTCATAAATTATGTTAACAACTCGAGAGTCTCAGCATTTGGTGAGAGAGGGCTGCCTATTCAGCAGGGAGCAGAGAAGAGTTCACACTCCTGATCTTGAAGTGTAAACTCTTCCTGCTTACCGCTTTGAGTGTCAAGACAGTAGTGTTTCTCTTGTGAACAGTAGTGGTGTTCAGGGGGGAAGACTGCTGCATGGGATTGTTTTAGCATAGGTGTTACATTCTTGAAATTTTTGCTTTTAAATTTAGTATATATATTTTAAATGCAGTGCATGCAATAACACAAGTAAACAATATCTGAAAGACTTGTGTAAATGTAATTTTAAGTGAAGAATCAGAAACAAATCAATAAGAAGTATTGAGTGATAGTTTTTCTTTTTATTTCTTGTCAGTATTGTGTAAAAGCTGGCCTGCTGTAAAATCTTATGATAATAGATTAAACAGTTTTGTTTCCATACTGTGGAATCGGTTTCAAGGTTTACTGTGGTTTGGAAAAATCAAGGTTTTAAAACCTCTAAAATTTTCTGTTATACCATTCCTAAGGTATATGTAAGATTTTTTTGAATGTGTTTTTTAAATGTGTTGAAAAAAATAAGTGTTTTTGAAACTAATGAAGACAGCAGAAGTCAATCATTAATTTAAATTATTTAGCCTGACATGTTTGCTGCTCCTAAATAAAAAAACTAAAATGATTTTTGTTCAATGGGATAAAAGTTTTTTATTATTTTTTTACCCAAATGTTAAAAAAGAATACGAGCAATTCCAGCGTTATGCATGTGACATTTGCAGTAAAAACTCAAAACATAAATTCGCATAGAAAGTGTGTTAACATTATATTGAAACTTTTGTTTATATTTTCCAGAACAACTGATCACAGAGTTATGAGACAGTTATATCAGTCTGTCAACATGTTTTGTACTTTATATGAAGGAAATAAACATGAGTTATGGATGTGACAAAAAAAGGTGATAATCAAAAGGATATGAGTTGGCTCTCTATAAAACAAAAATGATTGATTTTATTTTATTTTACATTTTCACATTTATAAGGAAAATGTGTTGTTAATGGATGTGACGTCTGTACATTATGGATGTGACAGATATGAAATTGCCACTTATGTGACTTTGGTAAATTAAATATAATAGTTTGAAAAATTTGCCAGATGCATTTTTGAGTATTTCTAAAGTACTGTAAAATACTTGCTTACACAAAAAACCCAGAAACGCTTTCTTTGTTTTTTTTTTATACTTTATTTTTATTTCTTTTAAGGAGAGAAAAAAAAAAGAAAACAGGGGGGGGGGATACAAAAAGTAAGTTAAAAAAATAATAAAATTAAGTAAATAATACAGTAAAACACCAGAACTTAAATGAATGGTTGACAGGTCACATATTTCCTTACAGGTCACATGAACAAATACATATATAAATCAGATTACACTCTGTAAAGGCATAAGTACAATCCATTTCTCCCAATATTGCAGGTATATGTCCATTTGTAGTTTTAAAGAAAAAGTCATCCTCTCCATATTTTGAACATTTGATATGATATCCAACCATTCAGATTTTGTAGGGGGTTCCAGTTGTAGCCACTTGGTTTCTGTATTTTGATGAAAACTTTTCATGGCAAGGTTGACATTTGCACGCAATTGCTCATATATTTTAGAGCAGTAATCACAATATCGTGAAACCGTGATATTTGTATCCAGGGTTATCAAACTGTCAGAAGCATATACTGGCCTATGCTTAATATCAAAATGTAATGTGAAGAGTCGGAAACAAATTCATTAGCAGGAATCAGTGATAGTTTTTCTTTTTAATTTCAGTGTTGTGTAATAGCTAGCTCACAGTACAATATTTTTAAATATTATGCTAATAAATAATTTATTGATTTAACAGTTTTATTCCTATATTGTTCCAAAAATGAAAAAAGGGTCAACAAGAAAATGAATGAATGAATGATTGTTCCAAAAATGCAAACCGTGTTCTAAAGGGGGTCATGCAGTGCTGTCGTGTCTCTAAATTTTCAACACATTGTTTTTTTTTTTTTTTTTTTGTGAGAATATCCACAACGGTGGCGCCACTCAACGTCTGTCCATGGGGTCTAACAATGGCTCAGGACGTCACTCTGCAAGACTGCTGTGTTGAACTGTATTTGATGTGTCCGGTGTGTGATACCTGTGAAGTTTTTACAGTTGCGGTTCAGGGCTGAGCTTTTTTTACTTAACAGCAACCCCCTTAACAGATTAAATGCACAAGCAAGTTGAAGCAACCTGAATGTGAACACAGGAAGTCTTGCAGAATCTCTCATGGCTAAATATGTCTTTCCAGTCAACTAACATGGTGAATGACCAGCAAGAAGTAGATTTGTAGACTGCAGTTTACAGAAGATGTGCAGAAAAAAGATGAGGTGATGGTGTGAAATTGACATTTTAGGCATGAGCTGCATTCTGATCATATAGATTTGTTCCACATGACCGTCTACAGATTTTGTGCCAGTTTGTTTCCCCAACCCAACAGGATTTCTATTCATTCTACATGCTGGAAATGCATGATTTGAGATCAGTATGGCCACAGTATAATTCTGAGCAGACTTCTATATTTCTGATAGGGAGTTTAAATAGGGTTATAAGAGAGAAGAAATCTTGTGTAATGTAGTGTGATTCTAATAATAATTCTATAAAGGACAGAATTACAGATCTTAATTATCCAGATCTAATCAATATGCTACCCTGCTTGATATATGAGTATACCCCTTACAACAATTTACACAGTGAGCTGCTTGAATATTTAATTCTATTAAATTTTTAACTAGCATCCTAGTGACAGTATACAGTGCTATTAGCATTGATAACCTAGTAAATTACCGTGTTTAAGAGATGTTCTCAGTAATTGTCTCTTTGCTGGAACTAATGCCCCTTGCTAATTAGTCTCACATAAATGAAAGAGATACAGTGCAATATGTTTGTAATCCTGTGGGATCATTTTGTCATTTAGGATGGAGGGGAAAGATGAATTAGTTTGCAGCGACTCTCCTAATTTAAATCTAAATGTGCCTGAGGTTGCAGCGTTGCACATCCTCTTAACA